ACTACAGTTTACACAAAAATTAGCTTTAAGTTCGGAGCCATCTTTATAAACCAAATTAATTAATGACCCGTTAACCAGTGAAATCTGTGTAATGAATTTTCCCTCGCCACTTAATTTGTAAGAAGTCCATGCATATGGATTTTAGAATCAAATTATTGAACTGACCAACATCAGTTAGGCAGTGACATACTACTAGCTAGACTGGCCCTATATTAGTGGCAGAGAATGATCACTTTTGGTTACAGGTTTTTCCCCCTCTTATTACTTTTAGCATGGGCACTTTACAGGCCTAAGAATTCACAAAGAAAAAATCATTTATGTCTATGAAACAGTTTTCCCCTACAAGTTTTCTTTCCCTTTCGCAAAAAATATTTTTCTCAAAATTGAATACATTACCAATATAAAACTTGGCCAGTGTGTGAAGCTATCTTGTGTTTAGGTCTTGTTGGTTGATCAATTTTTGAATTAGCATTTTATATTCTTACCCTTTAAATAACAATGGATTGTTCCAAATTCAAAGCAGTTCATGGACATATTATATAGGATGAGTTTAAGAATAAAATTCAAATTTTACAGGGTATTTAAAGAGTTTTTTCTGCTACACTCTCATTATAATAACTGTTTCTTCATGTACTGAACAAATTTCTACATTAACAGCATCAACTTTCCAAAATAATAACATACCTGTATCTTCTGGTGTGAAAATATCGTTGCTTAACATAGTATCCTGTAACAAGAATAAAATACATATAAATTCTAAAATATGGTTCACAAGATCAACAAGGAAAGGAGGAGTTCATTAAACGCAACCCCCACACAACCCAGCAATAAGGACCAGCGGCCAGGAGCCCAGGTGGACCTCAAACCAAAACAGGACAGGGCACAGGACAGGGCACAGGGCAGAGCACGGACAGAATAATCACTAAATGATACATGACAGGAAATTATAGTAACCAACAAGGAAACCAAACACAATTGATTAATGAATAGGCCCACAAAGTAAAAGAGCACAGTGGAAGGGGACAAATACAATACAAGGTCTGTAGAGCAACACGGCTTTTGTTAGACACATTTCGGTTATTGCTTGGAGAGGTGTTGATCGATAAAATTGAAAAATAGTATAAACTGTGCATGTATGATCATTTTGACAGAATTGTCAATGAATTCAAAAACATTAGAAACATTTAAGAATAATTAAGTTTATTTAATAAGGTGTTTGTCATAAATCAGTAATTTTCCATCACAATAATTAATATGACATATTATTTAAACTCAAACTTTTTTCCATGTAATTAAGCTACAACAGCATTTAGCAATTGAACCAAAAACTACGTATTTTCACAAATAATGGCAAAATGACACTACTCTTTTTAAATTCGAAAAGGTCCCTGGCCCAATAGATTTGGATATTGACCAAATAATTTTCTATGTTCACAAAGGGCCATATTTCATTCATGCCAAGACTTAATACAGGCCATTGACAGTTACCACCAATTACATGTATTTCAAGTGAATAAAATTATATACTTTCAGTAGTTTTGAAGATTGATGAAGGTTGCAAAACTTAAATTCAGGAATTTTGAAAGTTCACAACGGGCCTGATGATAATTCTGTCAAAATGGCCTTGGAAAGTGACCTCCCTTTATGATCTTAAGTGTGTGAAGTTACTAACATATATCTTCAGTCGTTGATGAAATATGATGTTGTACAAGTAGTTGCATGTAAAACTTTTACCAAAGTGTTAACTCAACGCAGACGCCATTATGCCCAGGCCAGGGCCCTGATAACCATGTACAGAATTGGGGCTGGGATACTCATATCGAGGAATTTAGTATCATTTTGAAGAAAAAGGGGAATTTATCTGTGATACAAAAATACTTTAACTGTTTACATATTTTTACATATCCATTACATTATTTCTTTTTTCAAAAAGTAAATTTCAATATAATATTGATAAGGGTTTTATGCAGGTAAAAAAAAAAAAAATGGAATTTTTTTATAGGGCAAAAAAAATGGGAAGGGAAAATGGTGCTGAATTCTGGCCGCAAAAAAGTGTAATGATTGTCCCTCTATTCTTAAAATAGTCGGGATAAAATCACTAAACTAGTAATTGCTTTTGTAATAGTATCTTCTTACTTCTTTATTTCTCTACAAAAAGCACCATGACTTATTTTAATACATTGCTTCATACATAATAAAATAATATCTCATTTATCCACACTACTTACTTCTTCAGTGTCGTTTCTTTGGTTTACATTTGCTTGTTTAAACTTTGACACATCAAAACTTTGTGTCTCATTCTGAAATATAAAGTAAAACACAGCTTGCTATTCATTTTTATAAAATAATCTTAGGTATAAAATTTGACAAAGAATGAAATAACCATATGACTAGTATATCAATATTATATATATTTTTATAATTTATAGATAATTTATCATGATGATATCAACCATGGCAAACTTTACAGTTACTGAGTTAGTAATGATTTCAACTCTTAAAATGCTTGGACTCAAAAATAATTAATAATGGATGCACCGTGAAGTTATTACAGTAGTTTGATTGTACCGGGGGTTAGCTTAGAAAAACCCACATTGCCGAGTTCTGGATAACAACTATTGCTGCTGAGCCTTATTTATTATTATTAGGGTTTCCATATTTTTCTACTTCAATATTACTGACATCCTCTATTATTAGAAAGAACTTTAACTGTTTATAGATATAACCTGCTTGTTATGTATATAAATCAATAAATTATTCACTTAATAAGTAAAGCTTGTCCGAGATTAAAGCATGTTCTTTTTCACACCTCATTACTTAATTGGATAGACTATTGAACAACTGTCAAATAACCTAATCATATTATGACAAAAAATCAATGTATATATCCCAACGGTATTTCAAAATGATATTTTCAAAAGATCTCCTTTCTATTAAACAACAATTGATTATTATAATTATTCTCTTTGAGTCGTTTGATTTTGCTGCTCTTTGTATGATGTTATTAATTAAGTTTTCTCACAGAAAAAAGTCTGTAATTAGATTCCCTTTTTTGGAATACAAATATTACTCAGTGTAAAGTACAGGCAAACTTTAATTTAAACAAGAGCTGTCAGTAGGACAGCAACGCTCGACGCCGACGCTCGGGTGACTACAATAGCTCTACTTATTCTTATCGAATAGTCGAACTAAAAATATCATCAGTTTAAAGTGAATTGGTCTATAATTGAAGGTCTGTATTATCATAGATAATTATGATGATAGAATTAAGTACCATAAATGACAAGAAACTCATAATGAAGGAATTATAATACGAGCCGCACCATGACAAAACCAACATAGTGGGTTTGAGACCAGCATGGATCCAGACCAGCCTGAGTCTCTGCGCAGTCTGATCAGGATCCATGCTGTTCGCTATCAGTTTCTCTACTTGTTATAGGGTTTGTAAGCGAACAGCATGGATCCTGATCAGACTGCGCGGATGCGCAGGCTGGTCTGGATCCATGCTGGTCGCAAACCCATTATGTTGGTTTTGTCGTGACGCGGCTCATATATGGATGGTGTTATGCGTGAGATACAAGATTCAATATTGCATAATCTATTTATAGCAAATGATTTTTTCTAAAACAAAATTTTATTATTCATCATCTACATTTGTACTATTTAATCAATAACTCTAAACTCTATCTGTCAATTTGAATTGTTGTTTATGTTTTTGATATGTATGTACATATTTGTGAATTTCTTTATCTTGTTTAATTGAAGGCCATTTTGTAAATAAGATATATGTATTTCTTAATATGTTACCTTCATGAAATAAAGTGTTTATTATTATTATTGCTATTATTATTATCGATTATTATTTTTTCCTTTTAAGATATTTTTTCTAAGACGGTCTTACAATGATACATTTTTATCAATATTTAAAATAATTATGGAAACTGTGCCCATTACAGACCAATCCACTTTAAGCTTCTCTGGTTAGAGACCATCAACCAGACACTTCTTGAACATTTTTCTCCCATGGCTGGAAAATATAATGAACATGCTCCAATGGTTGGACAAATAATTAGCATGTTCCAATATGGCTGAAGAAGGAACGGACATGCTCCAATGGTTGCAGAAAAAAATGAGCATTCTACAAAATGGTTAGAGGATTTATGAATATGCTAAAATTATTATGGACGAACAAATAATGAGCATTTACTAATTGCTCCCATGGATGAATATAAGGCAGTGATTTTTCTCACTAAATTGGGAAGAGGCCCTAGTCTCTTGATTTTGGGAAAAACTTAAGTGTGAAAATTGCTAATTTTGGAAGTAAAAAAGCAGGTTTCAGTTCAGATTTTTGGGAAAACTGCATGATTTTAAAGAAAATTTCAATTGGGAAGAGGCCTTTCATAGGAGTCTGTTAAATTATTAAGCAGGAATATCACTGTAAGGAATGGACATGCTTTCAATTGGTTGATTAAATATCATTAAGCATGCTCCCATGGTTGGAAAAATAACAAGTTCTCTACATTATGAATAACAGAAAAGTTCAAATTTACAAAACTTAAATAAAAAGTGTACAGATATGCAAATTTTCATCTACTGATTTTTTTGTGTGAACATTATTAGAATACTTCAATAAATAGCTGAAAGAGCTACAATACTATATAACAATGGAATGATAGCACATTTCTGAAAAACAGCTTTCTAAACCCTACAATAACAATCAGTATAGCTGATGCCATTAAAGGTACCATACTGTTTCCATTTAACGCCCCTGGGGACAAGGGGGGAGGGGGCACTAATTAGAACTATTAAAATGTTTATTATGTAAAAGATAGTATTAAATTGTAAAAAATATTTTTGATTATTATGATATAATATATAATAAACAATTTTACATTACTGAAGTGTTATTAATTGTTATTTTTCAAATACAAATATTTTGATTTTTCAGATTACTCTTTCATATTGGGTAATAAATATATACATTAAGGCAAGATGTTTTCTTCCACAAAATGTGGTGGGAGTGGGGCTACTTAGAGGGAGGGGGGTGTTAAATGGAAACAATATCCCCAGGTACATGTACATGCATGTCATGCAAAACAACGAATGTAACACAAATAAAATTATGATGAAATATCTGTGTAATCCAACTAAATTCTACTTTAAATACCAAAACAACACTAATCTGTCAACCGTAACCCTGTTGGAACCAATTATGATTAGCCTTTTCTCAAAGGTTAATTCCACCAGTTAGGCCAGTCTGCACATCCTAAAAATTTGATAATCAACTGTTCCAAAATTGGAAGCTGGGCATGTATCATTTAAGAAATTTTGAAGGTTTATTCAAAATATTCAGAACAGACAGGTTTAGTGGTCTCTCTCAAGCCCTAATCAATAACCTGCTGAAGATGCAAGTGGCCTAATCTTTGCCACCAGTATAAAACCAGGCCTGAGTTGGTACATTATGTAACATATAACTTACTAATTATTTGTATTTTGGTACTGAAATCCCAGACTTTTCAAAAAGTCTGTTCCAAATTCAAAGCTAAATAAATCCATTAATATTCAGCATGTTATACAAAGTGTTAAGTACAGGTCACACATGAAAATCTTGATTATAAACATACATATAAAAGAAAACACATCAGTTGGGATTGTTTGACACTCTATATTGGGATAAAGGGTAGGTAATTGGGTATAATGTGCAGAAAAAGAGCACACAAAACTAAAATGCCCATTTTTTCTTAGCTAAACTTATGGCTTACAATGTGGTGAGAAAATTAATATATAACAAAGTTGATTATTAGGCAATAAGGGAGCTCTACAAAGTCTATGTTAATATCTTACCTTGTTCAAATCTAAAAGCTGGAAGCATGAAAGAAAGGTAAAATGTTAAAACTACTAAAATGAGTTACATGAATTATGATACAGGTGCATAAATATATTTTAGAATAATATAATTTTGACAAAAGCAAATTGAGAGTAAAAGCATGCATTTAAGGATTTAAAAGGTTTAAAAAGCATCTACAGGCTTTGATAAGTGTAAAATAAAATTTTGTTTAAATTTTGACTTTTATTAAATATATAAAAATGTTTCTAGCACAGTCAAATTATTTCCAAAAAAGATTTATCAGTGCTAAATTAAAGTGATTTCTCAGTGCTAATTAAAGTACTGTAAAAACTGTAAAATTTTATTCACTGTTCCAAAACTTATATAATATATTGTATTCCATATACACTTTCAATCCAATAAAAAAATTAAAATTATTTAGATTGATCAGGTGGTTAAATTCTTGCTTCCCATTGATATTTTCCAGATAAATTTATAATAACTATAGACATAAATTGATCATATTAATGATGTATATCAAAGAATCCATTTATCTTCAGGAACTATTTACTCAGATGTCAATAAAAGTAGCTCTAAAGATAAAGCTATGCAAGGGCTACGCATACTATACATGCAGTTTTCAATATTTAAAATCTAAATATGAAGCTAATTTACTAAGATTTTTAAAAGTGGCTGTATTTAACTTTTAGACTAGTTGGTGAACCATTGTGCACTACAATAGCCATTAAAAACAAAGATGTATCCCTACCTCATCCACTTCCCATTCATCTGGATTTCTATAAATAGTTTTCTGCCGCAGAATTCCCTGCGGCTGATTCCTGTACTGCTCCCTTTGCAGTCTTTGAGCATAGGTTTCTGGATAACTTGCATCATTGTCCCTGGTTTTTCTCAAATTCTGTTCTCGAAGCTGACTGTTATATTCGTTTCTTGTCGCTTCTAAGACTGCATTGATATCACCAGCTTCTGATTCTGAATCACTTTCAAAGTTTCCCAAAGTCTTTGAAGTTTCGTTGTTTTTGACTTTACCATTTTTCTTTTCATTAGAGTTCTTATTTGTTGTCACAGAAACTGTTTGGAACTTATTATTATCAGTTTTCGTGTTATTTGTGATCTTTTCATTTCCACCAAGTCCTGACTTCTCATTTTTTTCAATTTTAAGTTGCCTTGATGACTTGGAAACATTATCAGATCTGGCTGGTGGAGTTTTTTCTTGAGTTTTTGGTTTGCTTGAACCTGATCCCATATTCCGCTATATAAACTGCACTATTTCCTTCATTTGAACAATATTTAAACTCTGTGTACACTAATATTTACAAATATCGCGTGTTTGAAAATCAAAATTCACATGTTTACCTGGTCGTCAATCAGTACACACTTTCAATTAGGAATGTCAAGATTATATTGGACGGATCTACTTTTTATATGAGGGGATTCAGGATGATTTGATTCGTTTATTTAATTTTATAAACTATGTTCCAGCTATTTAAACATTAATAGTTACAGTACATGTTGTTCATTACAAAGCATAAACTAAACGAACTTGAAACTGGGTGTACTTTAACAAAACTGCAGGTAACGTCTAAATGTTCGTGTCGACATCAAAATGAAATCGTCGAGCTAAATTAACCCAACGGCTTACAGCATACAAAAGTTGTATACATACATATAAAGTTGTCGATGTGCACAATTGTCATTCACATATTCGTTATTTATCATATGAATTATGAATTTTGATACAATTCTGTAAAAACAGGTGCTGTCAGAATGTTTAAACATATACATCGTCAGTACTTTCGAGTGAAAAAAATATATACATAAAAAATATACTCAGTATATGTTGGTGTGCAGTTGAAAGAGTTTTCGTATTGGTCTGAGGGCTATATAGCACTTGTACTTAATTTTCATTTGGGTATACGCCAGTTGCTAGTATATAAATATATATCCCTAAATTGTCGTGACCAAAAGCACAATTATTAAGGATTATCATTAATAACTATTATTAGAGGGTTAATAATTAACCCTCTAATAATAGTTATTAATGATAATCCTTCTTACCAACCATTGTAAAATAAAAATCTTATATATAATATTCATGTCTACGGATTAAAAATTTCAAAATCAATGAACAATTTGTTTAAATTGTTTAAAAAGAAGACGGCCAATTCTGGTTTTGTTTTATGTTGGATAAGAAATTGGTCTGTTGAATTGTTATCTATTAAAAATACTAATAATTCAAATAATTTAAGAATGTCTTTTTCATGCAAATTCCGAACTAAAAGTTAATTTGAACCACCCAATTTCAAACATCTTTCATATAATTATCTAAAAATATCTGGAAAAGTGATCCCTTGAAAGCATTAATTAAAAACAGCAAAATTAAATGAAAATTGGAGACTCGGTTTGATTGAGTCTGTAAATGACGGATAATGAAAAAGTGCAACATCCCACACACGGTCCCCAGCACTGACTTGAGCGGTATTCAGTTTTCAACACTTAAAAGTGATTGACTCATTGATACCCAAGGACCAGAAAAAAAAGAAACAACAATGAAGTATGGTGCAACATTTTTACGGCTGCCACACAGCACTTAAAAGTAAAACAAACCGTTATTGATTTGTAGAAAATTCTATGTGTTGTCTCTATGATGGGATTTGTCTTTTAAACTTTTTCATCTAAATACTTTGCACATGTTATCTTACATTGTATTTTATACAGTAAATGGTCGCGAAATCAGGGGTCCCCTGTAACAGGAATGTCTTCATTCTAGACATGTATACATTATCTGAATTATTATAAACATCCCTGCCTTAATAACATAAAGGGTTATTCCCCAACAATTATTTTCATGAAATACTGTATATTTATGTGCTTCCGTGAGTTTCTTTTTTCATGTCAATTTTTATGATCACTTAATTTAACTCTAACTAGCAAATTTACATTTTCATCCGGTCAGTATATAAAGTCAATTGTATTTGATACAATATGAATAAGATTTTCTCAAAATTAACTTTCAAATTTTGTGAAAGGCCATTAATTTGGTACTTTACACCAGTGCCTACTATTTAAAAGACCCTGTTTACAATTTCTTTTTTATATGACATATTTTGCAATCTAACTGTTGTGTTATGTCACAATTAAAGCTAAGAAATTTTGTGAAAGACATAAATATAAAGTAGTTTACATCAGGATCTTCTCTTTGAAAGGCCCTGTTTACATATATATTTAAAAAATGCAATCTAACTGTTGTGTTCAAAGCATTATTAGCTGTTTATGTCTATTTGTATTAGTTTGTGAAGTGTACTTTTTGTTCCTTTAAATAATCTTTGCGCTACTTTCTATATTTCATAACGAGGCTGCAACACGTGCAATTTCTTTTCCGACATTTTTGTACGGCAAGGTAGGTGTACAGAAACGGTTAAAGTAAAATTAAAGGGAGTCTGTGAAATGATTGTTAAAAACATATGAAGAAAGATAACTTATGTTTCATTAGATACTTTACTTATCAAAAATTTGAGAACATATCAATTTAATCGCTAGCAGTCGTCACATCTCGCTTTTAGCACTTGTTTTCGCGACATGCCACTAGCTAAAGATACTTCAGCGAACAGGTTTATAGTATTACTGTCGCAACGTCAAAATAAAAGCGACATATAAAGTTATGGAAGCCAGAACTACATGCCACTTGAAAATTTCAGGCCTGTTATATCGTCATTTGGTTTGCTTATTTGTTTCTGATTTCATTTGTAGTAATATAATGCTGAATAATAAGGAAGAAATACCATTTTGCAAGAATTAATTAAGTTGATGTACAGTAGAAACCCATCATTGAATGAATGAGACCACTTTAGTCCAATATATTAGGCTTTACCAGGTCTAGGATTTCATGATATTTACGGACAGTCTGTAAATTTTTGGACGATCCATAATTTTACTGATTTTCTTATCTGTAAATTAACAGACGTTAAGTAAGAAAATAGTAGAAGTTGCATTAAAATTTAAAACCGCAGGTTAAAATGAATAAGGTTAGGTATTATATGATTAAATGTAACAGTATGTTAAGATTCAGAACAGTTTGATGACTTTCAATTTTCATTTTTTATAAAAATTTCAAAATCATCATACAAAGATGAAACTCACCCCATTACCTTTGTAAATATAAACAATCAATAAAACAACTTGTCTAAAGGTGCGGATTTCATTGTAAAACTAAAAACAGCAAATTTCACATTGAATATCTGTAAATTTATGGATTGAAAAATCTTTAAATTTCTAGACTGTCTATAAATTTACGGACAGTCCATAAATATCATGAAATCCTAGACCTGTTTACAGGCTTGTAATAGTTTGTCGGTCAAGCCTGACGTCTAATAGTTATTGCTCAAAAACGCATAGCATCATAAAAAATTCAAAAAATGTCTATTGTCTTGCCTTTCAAGCTTTATTCAAAAGCTTATCTTCTTTTCTTTCAATTTCATGCTCAATAATACACAAAAACTCTCAAACAATGTACTTATCAATTTAAAATAAAATATAAACATCAATCTATTTTTGTCTATCAGCCATACTGGTTAATCAAGGTGCTTTACAGATTAATTCCAAATTTTTGAACGGAAAAATATATTCGAACACACTGACGGTGCATGGGCAATTATTTCGTTAAAAAAATATTCCGTTAGATTGTTCTGACTCAGTTAAACGCTTGCATTTGAATTAGCCAATCAGATTTCGCGCACTTTATGGCCGCCATTTGTTTATCGACTGTAAAAAGAATTGAAATACATGAGAGGATTTAATCATGATTTTTCGGATGTGACAGTTTAATTATTTTGACAAAAGGTATTTATTTTTTAGTTTTGTTTATAAATAGGTCAAAACTTATGTAAATACACTGTCTTCATTGTTTTTCGTTCCGCCCGATTTTCTGTCGGAACATGCTATGGGTTTTTGAGCAATTTCGATATGACGTTGCTTTGCCCAGAAGCAAAAATATCTCAAAGCGACGTCATAATTATAGGATTAGAGACCACTTGTGCTCCGGGATCGGTATAGATGAATACCGAAAATAAGCTATTTTCGCAAAAATAAGATCATGGCTACGACAATAAGATTTATTTTTGAAATAGTGCATTTATTTGTTAAAGTAATTTTGTAAATTATATATTTATGCATTCTTTGAATGATTTAAGAGCAAATTAAATTTCAGAACCAAAAAAATATTTAAAATAGTGAAGTTTGAGCTGAAAATACATCGAACGATAAAAGCTAATCACCGTGTAAAGCGAAAATAAGATCGGGTCTACGAAAATAAGATTTACTTTTGATATAATGTGTTAAAATGTATTTTTGTTTTAAAGTGATTCATTCAAGGGCAGAGGGGGAATATGCAGTGTCAAAGAACCATAACTCTATTTTGCCCGGTTTTTAGCTCACCTGTCACAAAGTGACAGGGTGAGCTTTTGTGCTCGCTTTTCGTCCGGCGTCCGTCCGTAAACTTTTACTTTAAATGACATCTCCTCATAAACCACTAAGCCAATTTCATCCAAACTTCACAGGAATGTTCCTTTGGTGGTCACCTTTAAAAATTGTTCAAAGAATTTAATTCCATGCAGAACTCTGGTTGCCATGGCAACCAAAAGAAAAAACTTTAAATATCTTCTTTTAAAAAACCCAAAGAGCTAGAGCTTAGATATTTGGCATGAAACATCTACCAAGTTTGTTCAAATAAAAGCCCTGGGGTCAAAATTGGCCCCGCCCCAGGGGGTCATTGATTTTCCCTATATGCATATAGTAAAAACTTAAAAAATCTTCTTGTAAAGAACCCATAGAGCTAGAGCTAAGATATTTAGCATGAAACATGTTCTAATGGGTGTCTACCAAGTTTGTTCAAATAAAAGCCCTGGGGTCAAAATTGGCCCCCGCCCCAGGGGGTCATTGATTTTCCCTAAATGCATATAGTAAAAACTTAAAAAATCTTCTTTTAAAGAACCCAAAGAGTTAGAGCTAAGATAATTAGCATGAAACATGTTCTAATGAGTGTCTACAAAGTTTGTTCAAATGAAGCCCTGGGGTCAAAATTGGCCCCGCCTCGGGGGTCATTGATTTTCCTTATATGTGTATGGCAAAAACTTAAAAATCTTCTTTGAAAAACCCAAATAGCTAGAGTTTAGATATTAAGAATGAAACATCTTCTAGTAAGTGTCTACAAAGTTTGTTCAAATAAAAGCCCTGGGGTTAAAACTGGCCCCGCCCCAGAGGTGTCATTGTTTTTAACTATATGTGTATAGTAAAAACTTAAAAAATCTTCTTTTAAAAAACCCAATGAGCTAGAGGTTAGATTTTAAGCAGGAAACATCTTTTTGTTGGTGTCTACCAAGTTTGTCCAAATAAAAGCCCTTGGGTTTAAATTGGCCCTGCCAAAGGGGGTGGGGGGGCGGAGGTCATTGTTTTTCATTATATGTGTGTAGTAAAAACTTAACATCATGAAACATCTTCTAATGGGTGTCTTCCAAGTTTGCTCAAATAAAAGCCCTGGGGGTTTAAACTGGCCCAGCTCCGGGGGCCTATATACAGGTGAGCGACCTCAGGGCCATCATGGCCCTCTTGTTTTAATTATCTCCCCTGTTAGAAAAAACTTGTCCAGGACATAACTCTAAAACTATAAGAGATATCAAGATGAAACTTTGTATGTAAATAGATTTCAACGGGTAGATGTGCAGTGCACAAGAACCATAATTATTTTCGGCATTTCTATGCAAAATTTTGCTGTTCTCATTCTTGTCAAAACGTTCTATAAGTGTATTAAGACTAAGATATTGTACCGAAATGCCAGGACAACAAACCGAAATACACAGACTTAGTAATTACGCTTTTCTTTGATATTTACATTCTATCCGAAAATTGATCCCAAAAATCGGCGATTTCACATTCGCCAGAAACCCTAAAATTTCGCAAAGGGCACAAAAATTCGCAGTTTCCAAGCCAAACATGTCAATGAATTGTTAATTTGTTATTTACTCGACATTAAATCTTTAAATATCGATCTTCAATTTGCCCCCTTTTGAAGATATTTGCTAATATAATGGTTGATGTGAATTTCTTACACACTGTGTGAAGCTGTACATTATATTCCTATTCATTCCGCTAAATGCTGCCTATATACATATATACGTTGTTTTTTTTTTAACAAATATAAACTTTTGGTCTTTAGAGTGGACTTATTTAACCAGAATAAAATTTGATTTGGTATAAAAGTGGAGAAAAAAAACAATGATTTCCACATGTTGATGCATTATAATTTTATTGTTCCATAATAAATATTAACAACAAAACAATAATTAGTCCCAAACCGGTTTACCAGAGGGGACTTTAGGTTTACCCTCCGTCCGTCTGTCTGTCAGTCCGTCAGTCCTCAAAACTGGATCCCGCGATAACTTGAAAAGTACTGAAAATATTTTTATGAAACTTGATATATGGATAGATGGCAGTATGGAGATTGTGCACGTCTTTTTCTTTTCTTCTTATGTTGAAAATTCTGGTTGCTATGGCAACAAAAAGCCTGAAAATATGGCAAATTTTACACATAAACTGGATCCAGTGGCAACACAAAAAGTACTGGAAATATTTTTATGAAACTTCAAATCTGGGTAGATGGCAGTCTGGAGATTATGCACGTCTTTTTTGTGTCGCCTCTACGGAGTAGTGGCGACATACAGGGATCACTTCTCCGTCGTCTGTTTGTCCGTCCATCACAAAACTTGTCTGGACTACTCCTCATAAACTACTGGTGCAATTTCATCCAAACTTTACAAGAATGATCAGTACCAAGTCTAGTTGTGCATATTGTCAGCATTTTCTGGTTCAATGATTTTTGTCAGAGTTATGACCCTTTAATAATTTTTATTTTTAAAGTTTGTCCGGACTACTTCTCTTATACCTCTAATGCAATTTCAATGAATCTTTATAGGATTGATCTGTAGCTCAAGTCCTTGCGCATATTGCACGGGTTTTCCGGTTGAATGATTTTTGGCCAAGTTATGGCCCTTTGATAAAAAGGTGTTTTTTTCTGTGTGTTGCCAGATACACAAAAGCTTGTCCGGACTACTCCTCATAAACTACTGGTGCAATTTTATCCAAACTTTATAGGAATGATCAGTACCAAGTCTAGTTGTGCACTGTCCGTCTGTCACAAAACTTGTCCCAACATGAAATTGGCCATCATTAGGCCACACGTGATCACTGATCGCTCTTGTTTTTTCTTCCTATGTTGAAAATTCTGGTTGCTATGGCAACAAATAGACTGAAAATATGGCAAATTTTACACATAAACTGGATCCAGTGTTAACGCAAAAAGTAAGAGAAATATTTTTATGAAACTTGTAATATGGGTAGATGGCAGTCTGGAGATTATGCACGCCTTTTTCTTTTCTTCCTATGTTGAAAATTCTGGTTGCTATGGCAACACATAGACTGAAAATATGGCAAATTTTACACATAAACTGAATCCAGTGATAACTCTAAAAGTACTGGAAATATTTTTATGAAACTTGACAATCATATGGGTAGATGGCAGTCTGGAGATTAGCATGCCTTATCTTTTCTTCCTATTTTGAAAAATTATTGGTTGCCTTGGCAACAAATAGGCTTAAAACATGGCAAATATAACAATATTTGTGATTAGTCAAAAAGAGATGATATTTTTATGAAATTGCATCTTTAATTCAAGAGTTGTCTCCTCTTTAAGAATTTTGCTTTTAAAAATGTTATATTTTGGTAACAGGGATGTTTCAAATATTAACTTTAGAGTGTCATTCAGTCCATCTGTCTGTCTGTTCATAAAAACTGTTTTCTGTGATCACTTTTAAAGAACTTTTCCAACAAATTTACTTAAAATATAGAAAAATTGAAACATTGGTGAATGGCCAATGGCCCTTCAGAATGTTGATGGGGTTCAAACCGGTAGGGGACTTATGGATTGCTTGCAATACTATGATAATTGCTTGTTATACTATGTAGTTCAGAGTTTGTTTTGAATAACTTTAAACTTTGAAAGTCTCTTGAAGATTCCATATATCAGCAATGCTATTGTGAGCATTATGACTAATCTGTAAACATATTAATTGTGATGTGCTTATGGAATCCAACTTTTTCAGGCTTGGGAGTCCATGGACTCCATGTTTTCAAGTCCTAGTGAGAACCCTGAATATAAGATATAGTACTACATAGTAAAATCTTTTTTTTACATCTTTCAGATCTTTGTCAAGAACCGCTTTGTCTTTAAACTGCTCAGCTATCCCTGATTCACCAAGATGGTCAAGGAAGACAAGGCAACATGGAAGTCTAACTACTTCATCAAGATTGCTGTAAGTTGACCATAACAATTTGTTTATTCATAAGTTAGTCCTGACCCATGTGAGAGAGCAATTGTTTCAACAAATGAAGTTGATGGTTTTGTACAAGTTGATGCCATAGAAGCAGCATGTCATAAAAAATTTCTTATAGTTTGTTTTGAATTCTAGTTGGTAATTTTTGGTTTTATCTTCTAGTAAGTTGTATAATATTATAAAAGAGTGTTTCTTAATGTTGAAGTTGTCATGGTGGCATCCAGCTGTCTCTTAATGACCAGCCTGAGCTCTGGTGGTATTTTTTGCAGGGTTAATAATAATTGGAAGTATTTTTAAGTTGATCCAGCTCTTTAGAGTTAAGAATCATTCTTAAGTTAATCGTCTTAATTTGCTTATTTTTAATTCATTTACTTTCATTCTATGTGGACAAATTTAATTAATGAAGCTTAGAAATGATCCAATGATTTAAAATTGTGATAAAGCAAGGGAGTTTTAAAAAGAAACGATGGAAGTTTATTCATGTGATGACGGGGACCACAAACTCTGATACAATTATCATGCTTATGAATATATTTTCTTCCATTTTCAGAAACTTTTGGACGATTATCCAAAATGCTTCATTGTGAATGCAGACAATGTCGGCTCGAAACAGATGCAGCAAATCAGAGCTGCTCTCCGCGAACAAGCTAGTAAATATTTCTGTCTCTATCATCTAGTATTGTAATAGGTAACCTATCAGAATATGTAGCTTTGGAGCTAGACTTTCCTGTTACATTAATAGATAGAGCGTTTAACTGTGAATTGGGTGACTGAAGTTATCAGAAAGTGTAGGCAACTACTACTGGTTAACTGCTTGACAGCCTGTCATGGAATGATGAGGTGGCTGAACAGTGCTCTGGTAAATTCAGTGTGTCTGACTGCCATGATTGGGAGAGTAAACTCAGAGTGACAGTCATAGGAACTAAAAATTGTAGCATGTCATCTTTTATAGGAGATACAATTAATTTGCATAAGCCCAGCAATGTTTAAAAATGTCATCAGGGTTTGTACAATCTTAAAAAGTACTTAAATTTGAGTCCCTGTCTTAAAAAGTGCTTAAAAATGTAAAATAGTGCTTTAAAGTCCTTGAATTTGATTACTGTTTTGAAAAGTTCTTAACTTTGCTGAAAATGATTGAATGACATAGTGTCGATAAAAATCAACAGTTGACAAATTAAAAAAAAAGTTATCCAATTTAGTATCAAACTCAATAAAATGCTTGCTCAAAGTAACAGTAAGTGGACAAATTGCACTTGTTTTGAACTTATTTGTATTTGATGCACCCTTTGTTGTTCTATAAAACCTTAGTTTGGCCAGAAAATGTGTATAATTCAAGAAAAAACAGCGAAAAAACTAGCCTTCTTAGGTTGAATATTGTGTTGATATATGTGCTACAAATGTGCTTAGAAATGGGAATACATGCTTAAATAGTGCTTAAAAAGTCTGTGAATTTATTTTTGTAATTTTGGAGACAGATGGACACAAAACAAGTAACAAATGAATGTTAAAATATAGACTCGTGTAATTGCTTATAAAAATATATATTATTCTATTGTTATTGTAGAAATATATTATCAGTTTATATATATATGCCATAATGAAGGATCATGACTGAATGTTTCGTTTCTTGTAGTTGTGTTAATGGGAAAAAATACAATGATGAGGAAGGCTATAAGGGGACATCTAGAAAACAACCCAGCCCTTGAGAAGTAAGATGTACTTTTATGCTTGTACTGTCGGGGATTTTTTTTGCTTATTTTATAGCCGATATTCGGTCATATTCCCAATTGGAAGTAGTATGTTATTTTCCCAATCCACAGTTCCCAATTGAAAGTTACAAAATAAAAATACTGAATAACAAATTCTAAAATCTTTGAAAATAAGGGCTCTTTCATTGTATGTTGTTTAAATGTTTTGAAGATGCCATCCTAAACAGTGATTCTTTGCATTCATTTAATCACTGCAAAATTTAAGTCATGCAGTTTTTTTTAACAAAACAGTGCTGAAATTCCCAAAATCATTGATATGGTCGTGTTCCCAAAATCCTGGGGAAAAACCTTGACTGTACATAAATACAAAATATACAACTTTTTGGTAAATTTCGTGTATAATTGTCAGTAAAATGTGAGACAATCTAGTCTGGCCAGGCACTGTTGGCACCTTAATGTTACAGTGTCTACTGATGTTAGTATTTTCTTACTGGAATCCCTTACAGTTTTAATGAACTGTTCCAAATTCAAAATATCTCAAATTTATTTAACAAATTAAGCAGGCTATAAGTTCAAAAGTATTATATATTACAATATTAAAATTTTCAGATTGCTGCCTCACATTGTTGGAAATGTAGGCCTGGTCTTCACAAAGGGAGATCTCATTGAGGTCCGATCAATGCTTCTGGCAAACAAGGTAAGATATTAAGTAAATGTTCTATAATTATAGTGTATCTGTAGTCTATGCTTAATGTGGGTCCATCTGCCCTTTCAAGTACTAAAAGTACAGACCCAATCTATATGCTGTAGTTGCAGAGAAAACCATGAATAGGCAATCATGAAGGGAAAATGCTTATCAATTTTGCCAGATATCAAGTAAAGTTAAAAAATTTACTCAGGGTAGCTTAATTGGAAGAGCATCAGATTGGTTATCTAGAGGTTACTAGTGTGATCCTCTGGGGTGGCATGATTAACCGCATTAGTTTTCCTTGATAAATGATCTTGGACATGGAGTGTAATGGACATCTGCCTCTCACATCTGATACAAAACTCGTGCGTCATTTGCATCCTGTATGGTTTAATTTAAAAGAAAATTTGTTATTATTATTCTGAATAGGGTTCATATCATTATTTGTTTCTAATAGTAAATTTGATATTGAATGTTACATGTATGATTTTAACTCCCTACAGGTCAAAGCCCCTGCTCGTGCTGGAGCTATTGCCCCAGTTGATGTAGTAGTGCCAAAGCAGGCAACCACCTTGGGACCCGAGAAGACCTCTTTCTTCCAGGCTCTGCAGATCACAACCAAGATTACGAAGGGATGTATTGAAATCTTGGTTAGTATATTCTTTTGATTTTGAACCACCAAATACAGGTTTGCGTTCTTCTCAAAGTGACAAGTTACAGAAATATTTTCCTTTACTTGAGGACTTTGGTTAGGATTACATTCTTGATCTTTGGACTTCAGATCTTTCATGTAAGGAAGTATTCAAATAATATACTGAAAGAAGTTTGATTGATCTATGTAGTTTTAACTATTTAAAATTTTGATATTTGAATTTCAAAAATAGAAGTGCATAGAGGGTCTTCTGAAGTCTTGCTCCACCAGTGTGACTGGATAGTCCCATATGACCTTTAGTGTTAGTGCGATGTATATTAGTACCAAAAAAATAAAGGAGTGTCACCTGCATATCTGATTTTGTAATACTACAGCAATGATGATTCTTAATTATAACCTGTTAGGACCAGTCTGGTATGAGAGCCAGCAATGGCAGAACCCACTCATACTGTCTGGTTACTATGGTAACAAAATGCCTCACAGAGGCTGTCTGAGCTGTTCTATTATCTGATACATAGTTCTCTTAATATTATCAAATTCAGCCTACTGTCTATTGAAGGCCAGAGTAAATATTAAACCTTTTCTTGTATGATTGAATACAATGATAGTAAAATAAAGTATAGCGTGACCAGTAATAAACCAGTCTTCCCCATAAAGACAGTAGTACAAAACAGAACCTTTATTGCTTCATAGGTCTCCAACCTAAAACATTAACAAAAGTTTATTTATATTTGTAAATGTGTCATTGTTTTGTTTTTTTTTTGCCAGAACGATGTGAACCTGATCAAGACTGGAGATAAAGTCGGACCTTCAGAATCCACTCTTCTGAACATGTTGAACATCTCGCCTTTCTCTTATGGTCTTGTCATCCAAAGAGGTTTGTCTCTGTTTCATTTTACTTGAATTTATGAAAAACTTTACCTTACTGGTTTGTGAAAACCTATACTTTACTAGGAAGTATAGCCATCAAATTGTCATGTTGTTGATGTCATTCTACAAACAAATGATGGACCCAAACAATTTTGGAGAATTATTTGCGGAAATTTTTATACTTATTTACAAAGAATAAATAGAAATGAGTTTATATTATATATTTTTAAAAAATCGGGAGCATAGGAAAGAGAGAAAGTTTGCTATGATGATTGTTAATTATAACCTGGTAGGACCAGTCTGGTATGAGAGCCAGCAATGGCAGAACCCACTCATACTGTCTGGTTACTATGGTAACAAAATGCCTCACAGAGGCTGTCTGAGCAGATTTTTGATGTTTGGCGAATATTTTCTAATTAACAAAATTATTTCTATTTAAGAAAATTGATAAAAAAAAGTAATTATGCCCCCTTTTGAAAAAAAGGGGGTATATTGCTTTGCACTTGTCGGTCCGTCGGTCCGTAGACCAAATGGTTTCCGAGTGATAACTAAAGAACCCTTAGGCCTAGGAACTTCAAACTTGGTATGGTGATTGGTCATGACAAGTAGATGACCCCTATTGATTTTGGGGTCAAGGGGTCAAAGGTCAAGGTCACATTGACCTTGTAAGCAAAAACGGTTTCCGATCAATAACTAAAGAACCTTAAGGCCTAGGAACTTCAAACTTGGTATGGTGATTTGTCATGATCAGTAGATGACCCCTATTGATTTTGGGGTCAAGGGGTCAAAGGTCAAGGTCACATTGACCTTGTAAGCAAAAACGGTTTCCGATCAATAACTAAAGAACCTTAAGGCCTAGGAACTTCAAACTTGGTATGGTGATTTGTCATGATCAGTAGATGACCCCTATTGATTTTGGGGTCAAAGGTCAAGGTCACATTGACCTTGTAAGCAAAAACGGTTTCCGATGAATAAGTAAAGAACCTTAAGGCCTAGGAACTTCAAACTTGGTATGGTGATTGGTCATGATCAGTAGATGACCCCTAACGATTTTTGGGGTCAAGGGGTCAAAGGTCAAGGTCACATTGACCTCTTGGGTAAAAACGGTTTCCGATCAATAACAAAAGAACCCTTAGGCCTAGGAACTTCAAACTTGGTATGGTGATTGGTTATGACCAGCAGATGACCCCTATTGATTTTGGGTTAAGTGGTCAAAGGTCAAGGTCACATTGACCTTGTAGGTTAAAACGGTTTCCGATCAATAACGAAAGAACCCTTAGGCCTAGGGACTTCAAACTTGATATGGTGATTGGTCATGATCAGTAGATGACCCCTATTGATTTTGGAGTTAAGGGGTCAAAGGTCAAGGTCACATTGACCTTGTAGGTAAAAACGGTTTCCGATCAATAACGAAAGAACCCTTAGGCCTAGGGACTACAAACTTGATATGGTGATTGGTCATGATCAGTAGATGACCCCTATTGATTTTGGGGTCAAGGGGTCAAAGGTCAAGGTCACATTGACCTCTTAGGTAAAAACAGTTTCGGATCAATAACTAAAGAACCCTTAGGCCTAGGAACTTCAAACTTGGTATGGTGATTGGTCATGATCAGTAGATGACCCCTATTGATTTTGGGGTCAAGGGGTCAAAGGTCAAGGTCACATTGACCTCTTAGGTAAAAGCAGTTTCCGATCAATAACTAAAGAACCCTTAGGCCTAGGAACTTCAAACTTGGTATGGTGATTGGTCATGACCAGCAGATGACCCCTACTGATTTTGGGGTTAAGGGGTCAAAGGGAAAGGTCACATTGACCTTGTAGGTAAAAATGCTTTCCGATCAATAACTTAAGAACCCTTAGGCCTAGGAACTTCAAACTTGGTATGGTGATTGGTCATGACCAGCAGATGACCTATTGTTTTTAGGGTCAAGGGGTCAAAGGTCATGTAACATTGACCTTGTAGGTAAAAACGGTTTCCGATCAATTAACTAAAAACGCTTAGGCCTAGGAACTTCAAACTTTGTATGATGATTGGTGGTGACCAGCAGATGACCCCTATTGAGTTTTGGGTCAAGGGGTCAAAGGTCAAGGTCATGACCAGTAGATACTTGATAACCTTTATTAATTGTTTGATCACTGGGTCAAAAGTCATGCATAATTACCTTATCACATGAATAATTGGCTGCTGATAGGGGGCATACATGTTTTACAAACATATCTTGTTTTAGACAAAAATGCCTTGCTCTGTTTAATTAAAAATAGATGACATCTTAGCTGAATATGCTTTACTTTATGCATAGCTTTTTTCATCACTGTACATGCTTTTATGTTGTTTAATGTATTCCTTGTATTCTATAAAATATGATGATACTTTTCAACCATATCTCCCTGCAGAAATTAATTTAAATGTCTTGTGCTCAAGTTTGAACAGATCATTTCTTAGACTTGTCATTTGGAATTTCAGTTAATCAGAATAATAAAATTCTTTGCCAACACAGTCCAGAATTTTTTTAGTGAACTTGCCCAGTTTGTATTTTTAGCTTTACCATTTTAAGAAAAGAGAGAGAGAGAGCTATTTAACTTGCATGTGTATGTGTCCTTACACTTCGGTTAAGTTTTTGCATGCACCATGGTATCTCTAAAACACACTTGTCTTATCACTATCCAAGGCACATAACTCTTACATGCCATTTGGACAGAATTATGGCCCATTCTTGAAATTAGAAAATTTTACATACTTCAGGCTCTGAAAGAATAGCACTGAGAATAGTTAATAAGCTTTTTGGCCTGCCAACAGCTCTTGTTGGACTTAATATTATCATCAACTCTGGGGTCAGGGATATTGAGATAATGGTAAGCCAACAGTATAAAGCCTTGTAAGATTGCACATTGGTGTATGCTGGCTGTGTGCTAGTTTGGTGGCAAAGTCTTATCACTTTTAGTTTTCTGGAGGTGATCGTTGAGGATTAAATAGAATTTTTACAAGCATCCTGTGTTCTGTTAATTACAGTGTACGACTCTGGTAGTGTGTTTGAGCCAATGATCTTGGACATCACTGATAGTGATTTGATGCAGAAATTTATGATGGTAAGAATTTCTATTTGTTGCTCAGTAAAGGAAACTAGATTCAAAGTAGTTTTTGATCTTGAGAAACAACCTCTCCTCAGACATTTGTAATGAAACTATACAGCTATGATCAGTAGGTAGTCCCAGTGTCTATACTAGGATTCGAAAAACAGGGAGGATTTTTATCGAAAAAGTGAGTTTATTACATTTGTTGGAACTTTTCCTTCTTTCTCTATGTAAAATTTTTCCCCATGCCTCTGAAAAAAATAGGGGGAAAAGTCTCAAAAATTTGACCAGTAAATTTTTTACCTCTGAACAGTTCCTTGTTTGGGGCCATCCAGAGCATTTACTCGATTAAACTTTATTTAAAAAAATGGCAAATTGAGATATTTTTAGAAGTTTGACTTTTTGTTTGAATATATCACCTGTGTGTACTTCACATAAACAAATTCAAAAAACAGTATGACTGCAACAACAAAGTGATGGTTCTGATTAATCATATGAAAATGAGGACAAAAACATAAAAAATATTATTGAAGATGAAGTTTTGATTAATATCAAACTAAATTAATGGAAATAAACTTATAATGACAGTTTTTGATAATTTCAGTATCACAAGCATTGTAATAAATGTAGAAATCAAATTCATTTTTTTCTTCGTTTCAAGTAATAATTTAAGTCTTGTAACTCAGACTTTTCGGCTAAATTTTGGGACTCAAAAGATTTATAGCCCAGTGAGTCCTAGGACCAACACTGATGAATTTGTAAATTTGTTTAAAAAAATCACTTGATAGACCCAGAGTATTTTATAGACATTGCTGATATGATGCTGTTAAACTCCCAATGTTCCAAATGCAGAACTCTGCAAATCCATAACACATATTTAAGCATGTTCAGGATTACTGATACAACAAAATGTTTTATAATGTAGAGAGTAAAACTTGAGAGTTACTGTATTTCAGGGCGTAAGGAACGTGGCTGCAGTATCTCTGGGGATAGGTTACCCAACAGCTGCCTCAGCACCCCACTCCATTGCTAATGGATTCAAGAAACTGTTGGCCATTGCCGTGGAGACCGATATCACCTTTGCTGAAGCTGAGAGAGTAAGTATTAACGTAATGAATTAATCCATCACAATGCTCTTCCTATTCCCCAGGTTCCTTGTAAAATCCCCGGCAACTCGAAATTTATGGCCACTACTTTTGCCAAAGAATATTAATGAAATTTCTTCAAAGATTTCTCAGGAATACTTAACGGCTTGTTAGTGGGAAGTTGGTCACTAGCAAACAAATTTTAAGTACTGGTTTGTTATCGAGGAAAAATGGTGAGATGGACAATCTGCAAAGATAAACCAAAAATGTGTAGAAGTCTGGCTAAATATTCAAATTTCCCTTTGACCATAACCTTTGTTGGGGTTCTGGTCCACTCAAAAAGAGTGAGAATACAGATGCTGAAAATAGGTTTCTTCTTATTTCCTTATTGTAGGGCCACAGGGATCATTCTGGTCAGGATTTTTAAACATAATAAAATTCTAATTGTGATAACACTTTTATTCTGAAATATAAAAGAATTATACATGGATATCTACTACAACTATTATTTGCAGCCAATGTTCCTAATGGACAACATGGTACTGTACAGAAGTGATTGTTGAGATTTGAAGAATATTTTTATAACCTTACGTTTTGTTTTCTTTATGATTCTCTTCACACACCTCCCTCCATTAAAAAATATTCATTGAATATGTGACCTGAACACATAATGACAAATATTCTCATATCCACAAATATAAACAATACCTAAAGTAATTTTTATTCATAAACATCATTTTTAATGTTATAAAACACCTTTAAATAACACTCGGCTTCCTTTTAGTATTTTTTTTAATCACGACATCGCGAAAATATGTGACAAATGAATATTTGTCTGTTTTCCGCTGAAACATTCACAATTCTAGCTGTTGCTGATTGCAATTATATAAAATTAAATATTTTTGTTCAATAAAAGAATATTTATTATCGGCTATTTCATCAGGAATCGTAAAACAAAATTTTTTAATTTGTTCTTTACGGCAAAATTTACCGTGGTTGATGTGACATTTAGAAGACAAATTTTACTGGTATTTGTTTTTGACATGTCCATTTTTATGTTAGTCTGTGTCAAAATCAATTAAAATTGTTTTGTGTAAATTCTCAACTTACAGATAGATAAAGGTTAGCCATCATACCGTATTTCTGTATGGTGAATTTGTGGTCTCCGATCGGCAATTATTTTAGGCTAAATAATTCAAAGTGTTGGACTACTTTTTGCAGTTTTTTACACCGATTTCATTAATAAACAATTTGAAATTAAATTCTTGATGGGAATCGTGAATTTTTCATCATATTTTTGTGTAATTTTAGCATTCTTGAGATTGTGATTAGACATTTTCTGGCTCAAATTACCATGCAAGATTTTCTCTCATTTCACAAATTTCTCTGAGATTTTGGTGATTTTCTTGCGAGAAATCGCAGAAATCACCCCTAGAATGATCCCTGGGCCATATTTGAATTTTATTGAAATGGCCATTACAAGCATCTATATGTGGTAAGGATATTCTTGTTCTTTCTATCAAAGAGAAAATGGCTGCAAGGCAGAATGATTTATTTGTCAGAATAGTAATCAAAGAATTGCTAGGTGTGAAGATTCAAACCCCTTCTAGGCCAAGCATGTATTTTGATGATTGTTCATTTATAGCAAGAAACTTTAACGCCTAGCTTAGGCCACTTCTTTTATATTTCTTGGTTTACAAAACCGGCGACCCGAAATATTTGTAAATTGGAAAAAAAATAAAACTGAAATTTCCACTTTTTTTTCCCCCGATGCAAAAAAAAATATCCGATAAGCGCGATAAATATGAGTACGAAAATTCGAATATTTTTGAGTACGAATCTATATAAACACAACATTCGGACTACCTCGGATAACTACACAGTTCATGGTAAAACAACAATGGCGGCGCCCTTGAGCGGCACTGTTTATTTTAGTCCTATAAATATGACGTCGCTTTGAGATATTTTTGCTTCTGGGCAAAGCAACGTCATATCGAAATTGCTCAAAAACCCATAGCATGTTCCGCCAGAAAATCGGGCGGAACGAAAAACAATGAAGACAGCGTGTATTTACATATTTTTTGACCTATTTATGAACAAAACTAAAAAATAAATACCTTTTGTCAAAATAATTAAACTGTCACATCCGAAAAATCATGATTAAATCCTCTCATGTATTTCAATTCCTTTTACAGCCGATAAACAAATGGCGGCCGTAAAGTGCGCGAAATCTGATTGGCTAATTCAAATGCAAGCGTTTAACTGAGTCAGAACAATCTAACGGAATATTTTTTTAACGAAATAATTGCCCATGCACCGTCAGTGTGTTCGAATATATTTTTCCGTTCAAAAATTTGGAATCAATCTGTAAAGCACCTTGCTGATAGACAAAAATAGATTGATGGCCATGTCGTTCTAAAGAGCTAGCCCAGCACTGACTTGGTGACTGAGGCTGTTAGAAATATTTTCTAAAGATGGCAGATATTTTTGGTACATTTGTATCAAGAAAGTTAACATGAAAGCTATACTAAGGAAAAACAACAATAAAAAGATGTTTAAATTACTGTTTTTGCTTATGTCAATAGAAGAATGACACTATTTTTGACAAAATAGTGTTTTATGTGCACCATACAAGATTTTTTTTTTTTTTTACAGTATACCCGATGGACCCCTTTGAGGTTTTTTTTTTTTTTTTTTTTTTTTCGACCACCCAGTGGACATTTTTGAAAAAAAAAATTGTAAACCAAGAAAAAAAAAAGAAGTGGCCTTAATATTGGTTGATTGCAGGTACAGAATCAATAATATGTCTAAAACCTGATAATTAGCCTCCTTTACACATTTAACACCTGTTTTGTTGCCAAATGACCTATTCTGATTGTTGTGTAGCACCTTAAAACCAAACAAACAGAATACACATAAGGACTTGAACTGCAACTAAAAGGTTTTTATAACATAGAAATGAGGACTTAGCATTATAATGATTGGGTAAATAAAATTTTGAAGAGTGGTGTTGTAGGTAAAATGTTATGCAATGATGATTGTTAATTATAACCTGTTAGGACCAGTCTGGTATGAGAGCCAGCAATGGCAGAACCCACTTGTACTGTCTGGTTACTATGGTAACAAAATGCCTCACAGAGGCTGTCTGAGCATACTTTAATTGTAAACTTGGTAGACTGTCTCTATTATATGTTTAGAAAGATTGATTTTACTGAAAAAATTAAAAATAATTCAATTTTGTGGCTTAATTTTGTGCAGGAAAATAGTTCTACTGAAAAAATGTTATTGGAAATATTCAACAGGAAATTACATGATTTTTTTAATCAAATCACCTTAATTGTAGCAACTATGAAATTGAAATATTTTTATTAAGGATTGGGAAATTGAGATGTTTAAGCAGAACATGGTTACTATGGAGATGTCACATGACACAATAAACTCTCCTGCATTACTGCTGATCAGATTTTGAAAATGAATAAGATTAAGAGTTTCATTTGAAAAATAAATTACATTTTCAGCTAGACTACATTGATGATATGTATCATCTGAAATTGATATTGATTGAATGAACTGAGTTCTCTTTTTGAAGATAATATTTTCTTAATCGTAATTTTTTTATTACATAAAATACATATAAGTGTTTATTGCCGAGGTTAGATTGCAGAATTAAAGATGTCTTAAGATAAAAACTGTTTCCTTGACTGATGGGTTAAAGCCGATTATCTAAAGAAAATGGGCTTCGAATCATTTGAAATAGTGCAGTTTATTCATGCCTGGTAAAAAACAGAGCTACCACTTTCAGATGTGTACGATAAATTGCTCTATTTCTACTTCTGAACTAGTGCATCTTGCTGAATTTAAATGTCAACAAATGTGAAGTATAGTGCTTACTTATTTATTTATTTTTTGTACACTATGTATCTTATTTTGAAATTGAAGAATGCTTAACCATATAGATTCAATTAAAGTTTCAGAGGATGTGAAGTTTATGAATTTGTATTTTCAATATTTGATTCAGAGTGAACAAAAAATCTATATCAAAGAGAACACTATACCTTTGTTTACACTAAAATTTTGCCGGAAGTAGCCATAGAGCGATTTATCATAGAACTCACAAAGAGGTTGTTTAATAGGTGTTTTATTGGTCAAAAAATAATTTCAAACACTAAAATGTGATAGCACTTCAAATTAATGTCATGAAACATATTAAGTTTAAATATTTTATTTCTCATTTGTAAATATTGATTTTTCACTTTATATTTGCACTCCACTATCCACTGTACATTTCACTATATAAACTTTAGGCATTTTTATGCTAAAAAAAATATTGCACCTATTTCAGACAAAGGAATATTTGGCTGACCCATCTAAGTTTGCCGTTGCTGCCCCAGTTGCAGCGTCATCAGCTCCTGCGGAGACGAAGAAAGAGGAGGCTAAGAAGGAAGAGTCGGAGGAGTCCGATGATGACATGGGCTTCGGTCTATTTGATTAAACCCATTGACAGTACAATGAAAATATATCCTATATAAACATCTTGGATCTTTTTAACAACTTACCTTATCACAATAGAAAAAAAAATGGGAAAAAATATTGTTTGAAAAGTTCGGTAATGCTTCACATGTAGGCTGGATACAATCTTGTCCTAAATAAAGAAAAAAAAACTGTTTAAAGTGTTTGTTTTTCTGAACTGATTGATTTGTTGTGAGCCGCTATGGTGTTGAACATACTTGCATTATTACACACCTTAAGAAAGGTTACATGTATATTGTTATATATCTGGAAGTCTTGACTTTCCTGTCTATGTTGAATGTTTGCAATGTGTAAAGTACTTCCGCCTCCGTGGTCGAGGGTTAGAGGCGTGGGTTCTATCCCCGGGATATGCTTTGTTGGTTTAGCGTGGAAGAAGGTAGTCTAGTACTGGTGTAACTCCAGGAACGATGGTTAGGAAACTACCCGCTTATATGACTGAAAAACTTGGAAAAAAGGCGTAAAATGAAACAAACAAACTTTGATCACTTAATACATTTTAAAATTATCATTAATGTTTTAGGTCTTGTTTTGTTAAACTACAATTCCCAGAGCTTAGATATTCAGCGTGAAGTAATTTCTTGTTGACTTCCACAAAACTTGATAGCCATGCCCTTAGAGTTAATAGTTACCTCTCCCCAATGGTCACCTGAATTACATTGACTTGCATAAGAAATAGACGTTTCAGTCTTGTTGGCCCTATTTCTTTTTGTAGAATTGCCACAGACCTATTTGCCGTTGCCATCTGAAAATTTGAATGTTGGTCATATTTTTTAGCCACCAAAGGGTGGAATATTAAAAGTGCACCGTCTGTTCGTCCCCACATCATTCTTGTTCGGACTGTAACTGTCACAAATTGAGGGATTTTGAAATAGCTTTGCACAAATGTCTACCAAATCAAGGCGATGTGTTGCGTCAGAGAACCACGTTCATTCCTCAAAGGCCAAGGTCAGAATAACAAGTGTGAAGTTTTGAATTATCACAATTAGTGAATAGGTACAAACATTAGTGTCCGAATTTAACTTTGTCATGCATCGAAGAATTTTAAAATAACTGCATAAATGTCTACCACATCAAGACGATGTGTCGCATTCAAGAACCACGTCCCTACCTCAAAGGTCAAGGTCACCGTCACTTTATCACAATTAGAGCCGTAGGTCCGCACTCGTATTCGGAATGTAACTTTGTCATGAATCGAAGGATTTTGAAATAACCAGGCATCAATGTCTACCACTTCAAGACGATGTGTCGCGTCAATGTCCCTATCTTCAAGGTCAAGGTCACACAGTTTAAAAGTACATATGTACTCGCTCTATCAAGACGATTTTGAAGATACACATTCTTGTCAAGATTATGTCGCGACTAAGGCTCATGTACGTATGTCTGTCCCTGCATCCCCATTAACATAACAATCGAGTCCAGACAGTAACTTGGTCATGCATTGATGGATTTTAAAATAACTGCACAAATGACTATCACATGACACCAAGAACCATGCCCCTTCAAAGGTCAAGGTCGTACTTTCACGCTATCACAATGGAGATTATAGGTACGCACATTCGTATCCGGACTGTAATTTTGTCATCTATCGAAGGATTTTAAAATAAATAGGTATAAATGTCGACCACATCAAGATGACGTCTTGTATGGAAGACCCATTTTCCTACTTCCACGGTCAAGGTCACTAATATTTTGAAAGTACTTGTACTCAAAAGAAGAGTTTGAAGGTACACATTAGTTTCCAAACTGTTACAGTGTCAAGGAATTTTAAATGTCTACCACATCAAGATGTGTCACTTCACAAGAACAATATTAGGCAATAGTTACTTTCATTCTCTTCTTTTCATAATACATTTTGTACCTGCATGCTAAAGAAACCTTTTCGGGGGTATTGTCACTTGATTGACAGCTCTTGTTTTTGTGCCCCCACGTTAGTGGCGGGCATTTAGATTTACCCTTGTCCGTCCGTCCATCCGTCTGTCCGTCCGTCCTTCCGTCTGTCCGTCCGTCCGTTCACTTTTGTGTCGCACGTAACTCAAAAAGTATTTGACCTAGAGTCATGAACTTTACATGAAACTTTACAGGAATGTTGATCAGCATGTGTAGTTGTGCACCTGGGTATTTTCATCTGGATATTTTAGTATTTTCAGAGTTATTGCCCTTGACTTAGTAAAATTTTGCAATTTTCAACTTGTGTCGCACGTAACTCAAAAAGTATTTGACCCAGAGTCATGAAACTTTACTGGAATGTTGATCAGCATGTGTAGTTGTGCACCTGGGTATTTTCGTCTGGATATTTTTAGTTTTTTCAGAGTTATTGCCCTTGACTTAGTAAAATTTTGCAATTTTCAACTTGTGTCGCAAGTAACTCAAAAAGTATTTCACCTAGAGTCATGAAACTTTACAGGAATGTTGATCAGTATGTGTAGTTGTGCACCTGGGTATTTTCTTCTGGATATTTTTAGTATTTTCAGAGTAATTGCCCTTGACTTAGTAAAATTTTGAAATTTTCAACTTGTGTCGCAAGTAACTCAAAAAGTATTTGACCTAGAGTCATGAAACTTTACAGGAATGTTGATCAGCATGTGTAGTTGTGCACCTGGGTATCTTCGTCTGTATATTTTTAGTATTTTCAGAGTTATTGCCCTTGAGTTAGTAAAATTTTGCAATTTTCAACATGTGTCACACGTAACTCAAAAGTATTTAACCTAGAGTCATGTAACTTTACAGGAATATTGATCAGCATGTGCAGTTGTGTACCAGGTATTTTCGTCTGGATTTATATAGTATTTTTAGAGTTATTGCCCTTCACTTAGAAAATTTTTGCAATTTTCAACTTAAGTCGCAAGTTTCTCAAAAAGGATTTGACATAGTCATTAAACCTTATGGGCAGGTTGCTCAGCATATTTTAGATTTGCACCTGGGGTTTCGCTTGTGGATTTATCCAGTATTTGTAGAGTTATTTCCCTTGACTTAGTAAAAAGATTGACAGAACAGTGGCGCGGTGGGGGCACCCGTGTCCTATGGACACATTTCTAGTTTTTATTTTTATCATGGGTTGCCTCCATACTTTGACACAACAACCATTTAGACGAGACCTTCAAGTTAACCAGACTGAACTTGACCTCGTAAATGAGTTTCACTCCTTGACATTGAAGGTCAATTACTGAATTTTGCTTTAATTTTGATTTATGATTAAATTGTCTTTATACTTGACTTGAGCGCCATGTTTAACAATAGTTCTGAGGTGGGCGAAATAGGGCTATTATTAACCCAACTTCACGAGGCTGAAACTAATTTCCTTTTTAGCTCACCTGAGCACAACATGCCCATGTTGATCTATAGTGATCCCCCGTCGTCGTGCGCCGTCAACATTTTCTTTAAACGAAATGTCAAAAACCGATGACTGCACAGTAACCAAACTTTTCAGGAATGATCCTTGGGTGGTCCCCTGTCAAAGTTGTTCAAATGGTTCCGGTTTATTGCATAAGGAGGTCACGGGGCTAGAAAAGGAGTTTAAAAATGCAAACTTAAAAAATCTTGCTAGAAAGTACAAGGCCTAGAGCTTTGATATTTGGTATATAATGTCACCTATAGGTCTTCTACCAAAGTTGTTAAAATTATAGCCCTGGGGTCATAGGTTTTCCTTATTCATGTATGTATATAGTAAAAACTTAAAAAAATCTTCCTGTTTGAAGGTACAAGGCTTAGAGATTAGATATTTGGTATATAATATCATCTATAGGTCCTCTACTAAAGTTGTTCAAATTATAGCCCTGGGGTCAAAATTGGCTCCGCCCCGGGGGTCATAGGTTTTTCTTAAATGTATATTGTAAAAACTTTTTTTTAAAAAAAGCCTTCTCTGAATTGACAAAGGCTAGAGGTTAGATATTTGGCATGAAGCATTGTGTAGTGGAACTCTACCAAGATTGTTCAAATTATAGCCCTAGGGTCAAAATATGCCCCGCCCCGGGATCATTGATTTTCTTGTATGTATATTATAATAAAAACCTTTCCCATCCACAGACTTTAACCTTGATCATAACTTTAAAGTTCTTGGTGTATTGTCTTAAAACATCAACTTCTTACCAACACAAAAAATAATTTTTAAGACCTGATAACTTTACTTTTGTATATCAATTGCATTAAGTACTTAGGTTAGCGCAATGGGGCAAATGGCCCCCTTGTTTGCTATCTTGTTCAGCAAATTTCGAGGCTTCTTAGGCTAATAATAATAAAAAATAAATAATTATTTTTTTTGCGAATTGCCCAAAATGAAACTTTCAGGGGCAGAAAACGAAGTAATCGCTACCTTGACCGCCATGGAAGATTGGTGACAACATTATTGTGTGAGGATTGACGGCAAAGGTCGAAAAGATGCAATTGCATCAAATAAGTTCAAAGTTGCTGATTTGCTCTTTCATCTTTCGGTGGATTGTAAAGAAAAACATGACATGTTCGATTATTTTATGTTTCTATATCAATTCAATGATCAGAAGAGCTTAAAATGTTTTATATCTGTACATGTTTTATAAACATGATTCGTGATGTGTTTGTACTTTAGACTTGTGATTGACATATTTCCCAACAGACTTCTATCTCTCTTTAGAAAGTCTAATAAAGACACGTGCTTCACCGGTTCGTCTTAAAAACGAACAACTTGGCAAAAAAATCTTCGTGGCCGTTGTTCTCGCGAGATTTTCTGAAAATATGATAATCACTGCGCATAAAGCATTCTTTATCTATAATTATCATGTTCGTCTTGAAATCTTTCTTTAAATATACATGTACATGAAAAACATTGTTTACTAAAAACAATTTATTTGCTATAAATGTAATTTAAATTTTCACTGTAAAAGCTATGATTTACTTCAGCTA